AAAGTTAGTTCCCTGTTAGGTATTTTGGGACCTACCTTAGAGTCAAATGACCAAAATTAGGCTTGTAAAATACGAAATAGGTGTTTAATGCATCTTTGAATAAATGAACTCCCCCACATATTTTTAAAAGTTTCTCAACATCCCCTACCTCCCGATCTGATTCTACTTTTTCTTTTCCTTACATTATCTAGCTATGAGCCTTGTTTTGTTGCATTTTCTCTGCCTTGCTATAGGGATAAGTGAAAACTGATCATACACCTTCATTGTTTCCTCTTTCCACAGCAAATTCGATGGAAGAATTAAGTGGCATTGACTACCCTGAAACCTGCCTCATTTCCTCCTTTCCTGCCTGTGAAAGTAGAGAGAGCTCCTCTTTGAGAGAGCTGCAGCATCACATCGCTTGGGCCCATTATCAACAGGCAGTGCCAGCTACTCTTGACACAGATAACTTCAGACTGAACTTCTGTCCAAGGAACATCATCTGAGGATTGAGATCTAAAGCTTTGACTCATGAGAATGATTCTCTCCACCTGGTGCTCATATGAAGGTGGGAGTGATTTCTAGATTGGGCCCCTACTGGGTAAGATCTCACTTGGTCTGAGAAAAGTGACTGCTCCAGAAAGGAAGAAGTACAGGTGTCATAGGGTGACCATTCCATTCCACTCAGCTAATTATGATCCAGGACTTGGTGCTGGACATTGGCAGTTCTGCTCTGAATGAAGTCAGAACAGAACCAAAATGGCCTCAGGAAGGAATGCCAGTGTTTCCCAAGACCTGCTGGAGATGCACTCACACCAGACTGCACAGACCCCTCCACATTATGCCACACATTGCCTAGACGTTGTGTTTCCTCAGCCATTTCCCCTCTGCTGCCCAGTTTACTCTGTCCAAAACCCTAAGGTTCTTCTCTCACTTGAACACAGTTGACCTTGCTTGGGTGATGAGGCATCCCCTTTATCTCTTCCTCTACTGCTAGCCCAGACCTTTCACTTTCTAAGAAGCTCAGATGCAGCAGTGCTGGAGAGCTCTCTCTTTATGCAAAAATCTCATTTCACCAGGAGCTTTCAGAAGTTTCACCTGGGCTAAACTCAGCAGCATTTCTGTTAGGATATTTACATGGAGGTTTTATTTTCACACTTGGATTCTTCCTTTGTACCAATATTTGCCTCCTTTTCTGTGACTGAACTGGGTTTTTCTGACATGCGTAGACTCCTAATAAAAGTATTTCTTTCTTGGTGCCTTCTCTCCTGCTCCTGGTGGTTTTGTGCAGAATTATGAAATAATTGCTCAGGATCTTAGGATTATTACAAGTCTTCCTCAATGACTGCATTCAGCAGCCTGTCAGCACATGTCAGGTTATAGAGTAACAGTGCTATGGCAAAGCAGGGCTATGTGGTTAACAGAAGCCTGACTTTCTCCAACTCTACCACTAACTAGTTATGTGATGCTGGGTGAGTCCCTTTCTTTCTCTGGATTCATTAGATAATCTAAAATTTTATAGAGTTTGTTTGTTTGTGAGACGGAGTCTTGCTCTGTCACCCAGGCTGGAGTGCAGTGGTGCTCTCAGCTCACTGCAACCTCCACCTCCCAGGTTCAGATGATTCTCCTGCCTCAGCCTCCTGAGTAGCTGGGATTACAGGTGCCTGCCACCACGCCCAACTAATTTTTGTATTTTTAGTAGAGACAGGGTTTTACCATGTTGGCCAGGCTGGTCTTGAACTCCTGACCTCAGGTGATCCTCCTGCCTTGGCCTCCCAAAGTGTTGGGATTACAGGCATGAGCCACCGCACCCGGCCTGTTTTTAAATAGACATGGTCTTGCTCTGTCACCCTCATGGCTCACTGCAGCCTTGACATCCCAGACTCAAGCAATCTTCCTGCTTCAGCCTCCTGAGTAGCTGGGACTATAGGCACGTGCCACCACACCCAGCTAACATTTTGTAGAGTTCTGTGCTCCTGTGACTGTGGAGTGGGTGAAGTCACAGAAAGAAAAGAGAAGATGCTCTTACAGAGGCGCATACCATGCTTTAAGGCAATATGGTTCTCAACTGGAGGCAGTTTTGCCCCTCAAGAGACATTTGGCAATGTTCGAAGTTGCTTTCTGTTGCCACAGTAGGAGTGCTACTGGCATCCAGTGGGTAGAGGTCAGGGATGCTGCTAAATGTCCTACAATCCACGGGACACCCCACAACAAAGAATTATCCTGCCCAAATGTTAGTAACACCAGTGTTAAGAAACTCTGCTTTAAGGGGATCAGACTCCAGCTTTTGCTTCTCCACTTTGCAGTTCCAGGTAACCTCATGTTTAGTTCCTTTCTTGATCATCCTTCTTGCTATTGAAGAAACAAGAGTTTAATTTGCTAGATTGTACTAAAATTATTGGTTCATCTTCAAACAAATAGTGGTTACTTTATTAACTAGTATATTGGTTAGAGTTCATTTAGAGAAGCAGAACCATTGGGCATATATATGCATTATCTAATCTAATCTATATATGCAGTTTATTAGAGACATTTGACCTTTCTCTGACCTGTTAGAGAAATTGGATGAGAAGTACTGAGGAGTAGAGCCTGTCTTTTCTGTTTGAGTACTTCCACTCAAGTATGGCAGCTGGAGGGTCTGCTTAAGGTAGTTGTCTTCATGTCCAGTGGTAGAGCTTGAAATCCATAGGGAAGGCCGTGAAGAAGGGAAGATCATTATAAAGTGAGTGAGCAGGGACTAGGACCCATGTCAGTTCTCATAGCCCCCAACCTTCATGAAGTGGGTGTCCTGCTGCTGGAAAAGCTAGTGGCCTTTGTCATGGAACTGAAAAACACCCAGCCCAGGAGTGAGCAACTGAAGGAGGAACCAGGGAAGATGTAGCAGTTACAGGTCCAACTGTTGCCCCTCACCAGCAAGGTACCCAGCAGATAAACAGCAACATGTGTGAACTACAAAAGTACTTCCCCTGATTATGCACACTGAAACACAGGTTGGTTGCTGTTCATTTCCACCCTCCTGGTCTTGCACAGAAATATCTCCAGTGGTCCACCTTAACCAGAAACATACAGGGAAGGGAATTCTGGAAATTGCAGTTCAGCCTAGCCAAGGTGACATGATACAAAACAGTAACAACTGATCCCTACTTTTGAGAATGCATAAGTAAAGGATAGGCCTAGAATTCATGTCTGTACAACTTGTATGCTGCATTGGTCATACTGATCTAGGAGGTTTTGAGCTTCTTTTTCCTTTGGAGAAGGAAGCATTACTTGGCAACATTAGGATGACCTACTGACTGTTTTGGTGTAAGGAAGTGTTTCTTGGGTTTGATGAGAACTTCCATGCCCCACATTTCAAGTGTAGAGGCTTTGCTTTTGTTTTATGTTACTTTATTTTTTTTGAGATGGCGTCTCGTTCTGTCGCTGAGGCTGGAGTGCAGTGGCACAATCTCTGCTCAGTGCAATCAACCTCCACCTCCCAGGTTCAAGCAATTCTCCTGCCGCAGCCTCCTGAGTAGCCAAGATTACAGGCATGTGCTATCACACCTGGCTAATTTTTGTATTTTTAGTAGGGACAGGGTTTCACCGTGTTGACCAGGCTGGTCTCGAACTCCTGACCTCAAGTGATCCACCTGTTTCAGTCTCCCAAAGTACTGGGATTATAGGCATGAGCCACTGTGCCTGGGTGAGACTTTGCTTTTAAAGAGATTGTGTCACATAACAGCCTTCCTATAAAAGGGATTAGAGAAGCCAGACACAAAAGGTCACATACTGTATGATTCCATTTATATAAAATATCTGGAATAGGTAAATCCATCCAGACAGAAAGCAGACTGGTGGTTCCAGAGGCTGAGGGTGGGGAGGGATATGGAGTAACTGCTTGATGGGTGTAGGCTTTCCTTTTGGGAATATGAAAGTATTTTGGAACTACATAGAGGTGGTGGCACAACATTCTGAATGTATTGATGAATTGTTCACTTTAAAATGACTAATTTTATGTTATGTGGATTTCACCTGAAAAAATTTTTATTGGTTTCTTGAACACAAAAAGGAGTTGTAAACTAACTCAAGTAGTGCTAAGATCTGTAAGATATTCTAGTCTGCAAAAAAAAACCTAGAAATCCAGAATCTTCTTTTGGGAAAAGGAGGGTCTCATACTGCTCTAGTGTGGTACTCCTAGAAGTAGTGGAAGGAACTCATGTCCTGATATTCAGCTCAGGAAAACCTCTAAGTGGGGCTGGCCCCTTTAAGACTCAGAGACTGTAATCTGGTAGTTAAGGAGTCATAATCACAAGTTTCTTGGGTAATTCTCCTTAGAAATGTAGTTCTTACCTTCCAGGATCAGAAGTACTGAGGAGCAGAGCCAATCTTCTCTGTTTGGTGATAGATATATGTAGATGGGTTTATATGACTTTGAGTTTAGTTTATAAAATTTAGATGTCCCTGTCCTAGACAGGGGACAGTGATATTTAGTTTGGGTTCTTTTCTACCCTGTGGAGAACAGAGTTCAGTGAAAGGGAAGCATTTCTTTGAAATGTGGTTCTATGTGTTCAGTCCTATTTCCAAAACGCAGGAGGGAATGGAAGGGAAAACGTCCTGGCTCAAGAATACCTGTAAAACTCAATTGCTGTTGTAAATTCATCTGCCAAAAACAGTGCCTGTAACCCGTGTGGAGAAACAACACTTTGGGTTTCTGTACAGATTTTTCATGAGTCCAGGATTCATGGGCAGCCAGTGATTAGGAATCCTCAAACACTCACACTCTAGAGTGTGAATTCAAGAGAGGTGAATTCCAAGTTCAGAATTTGGGAGTAGAGAGTTGCTGAAGCCCACCAGCATGAGTGCTTGTGACCTGGGCACACATACCATCATACACACACCTCCTACATAGACCCTTCTTCTACCAGGACAGGGAGCCAAACTGATTAGTATCTATCACTGCAGGAAATAGTGGCTTGGAAATGGACATGCTCCAGGACCTTGAGTCCCTGCAGTTTGAGTATGGGGTTCCAGAGGAAGATCGTATCTGGCTGTATTTGCAGGGCCGTTCTCGGGGACTGATGATAGAAGCTTGTGCCCATGCAACCTTCTTCTGCAAACTATTATATAATTTGAGGTAAGCTGAGTATCCAAATTGAGGAAGTTGGACAAGAATCTCACTGCTGAGAATTCAAATGTCTTACATTTTTTTATATTGGAGGGTAAGTTTGGCTGGTGGATTGTCGTCCTATCTTTTCCAACCCAGAGTCAATGACTCCTGGTCTGAAAGGACAGGAAAATCTATACCAGGGTCCCCTAGCTGTGGTTACATAATAAAGCATGGACTAGTAGTGATTACCTTTTAGTGGATGGATTGATTAAATGATCATTTGTTTGTCCATTCACTCACTCATCATGACCACCAGCTTGCCCTCCACAGTTGCTAATATCTAGCCATTCCTTATCTATTGGCAAGGAGTGCAAATGGAATCAGTTCTTTCTTTTGGGGCTGAGGTAATAGTGGAATGCTCCCTTACAGGAAGGCTACCCAGGCCTTCACAGGTCCTGTGCCAGTGACTTCCTTGAAACCAGGAATATTGATTTGCAGAAAAGCTATCAGTCCAGTCTTGATTCTGATATCAATATGGCTTCAGACACTTAAATAGGAAATGTGTGTGAAGCATGTACCTATAATTAGGCTCCTGAATTCTGCAACTCCAGGTCACTCTGGGAGCATATGTCACCTCCTCACTCTACTTCTTAGTTTTTCTCTGAAGTTAGATTAATTCCTGGATGGTGGGACCAGATTTGAATTAAACATGTTTATAGATACAGCATATATCTAAGGAGGCAGGCTGCTCAGTGAATTTATGGATTGGCTTACTGATAAGGATGCATAAACCTATTGGTGGTACTCAATATGACTGGTGAGGAAACAATACATGAAACTTGCAGGTGGCATTTTATATTTGGAAGGATCAGGCACTAAGAGAAAGTGCTCTTTCAACCAGGAGAGAAGGCTTAAATAGAGTGTGACTTGTGTTGCTTAGAAGCAAAATCCAGAGCTTTAAGATACTGGTTTTTACAGAAATGCAGAACAAATATAAGGCTGTCATATAGCAATGAAAGTATACCTTATGTATTCAGAAGTCTGACTTTGTTAATCTTGGGCTGAGGAAACACATCCAGCACCAACAGTAAGTGGACCTCTAAAAATAGTGGTCTGAAATCTTCATCCTTAGTTTCTCAGTTCTGTTCCTTTTTGTTTTGTTGTTTAAATTTGTACCC